CCACTGCATCACTCACTGCATCACCCCCTGCATCATCTGCTGCATCACCCCCTGCATCACCCCCTGCATCACTCACTGCATCACCCCCTGCATCACCCCTGCATCACCCACTGCATCACCCACTGCATCATCTGCTGCATCACCCACTGCATCACCCCCTGCATCACCCACTGCATCATCTGCTGCATCACCCACTGCATCACCCACTGCATCACCCCCTGCATCATCTGCTGCATCACCCCCTGCATCACCCCCTGCATCACCCACTGCATCACCCACTGCATCACCCACTGCATCACTCACTGCATCACCCCCTGCATCACCCACTGCATCACTCCCTGTTATCACCTGTTGCATCATCACCCACTGCGTGACCCCCTCTGCACCACCCGTTCAGGTCCCCTGGGACCCCACTCTGTGCCCAGAGGTGTGTGCCAGCCCCGTGCCCTCGGCAGTGCCCCAGGAAGGGGGGTCACACAGACCTGCTCCACCCCTCACTCTGGTGCCCCGGGCTGGGGTGAGCTGCTGCTTCCCCAGCCTGCTCCAGGCGCTGCCACACTGGGCAAGGTCTCAGCAAGGCAGCTCAGCCGTCTGGCCAAGGGCATCAGGGGGGACAAGGAGCATCAGTGTGTGGCGCTGCACGGCCACAGGGGGTGGCAGGGCTGTCACTAATGGATTTCAGCTGACTGATCTCTGGTACACCCATTTTTCCAGCAGGAGAAATCAGGGTCCCGATTAAAGCAGGTACAAACGTGAGCCAGGCTCCAGCTCTGCTCAGAACTGGAAAGCAAGGTAAGCAAGGTGCCGTGGGCATGGTTGCACCCTCTCCTCCGTGAAGCCCCAGGAGGGGCTGGGGCTGAACTCTGGTGGGCTGGGACCCCGTGCCAAAGGGGGGGACCCGGGCTCTGCCCCAGGCAGCAGCAGCAGCAGCAGCACAGCAGCAGAGCCAGGGGTCCCCGGAACACTGAGCTCCCCCGGGGCTCTGCTGCTCCCCCGGGGCAGCCTCAGCCCCAGAAGCCTGGCTGTGAGCAGGGAACAGCAGCCGTGAGGGGATGAGCTGGCAGGAACAGCTCACACAGCCCTCGGCAAAGCACCTAAAATAGAACCTGCCAGCAGCCACTGGGGACACGGGGCTGGTCCAGCCCTTGCTGAGGCTGCCCTGGCACCCCTGGGCCTGAGCCCGGAGCCCGAGGCTGTGCCTGGAGGTGGTGCAGGACCCCTCCCCAGCAGGCAGACCCAGCTCTGCTCAGCCAGGGCCTGCAGCTCCTCCAGGGCTGAGGAGAACATGGAGCCCACAGCCCCTCGCCATCCTGTCCCTGCTGCCACAATCTCAGCCCCTCAAGGCATCACTGCAGCCCCTCGAATGCCCCGGGCACCCCACAGAGAACAAACAGCCCCATTACAGCCCCATAAAGCAGCTCCCCCTCCTCCAGGCAGGGCCAGACCCCAGCCAGAACCTCAGCAGGCTCTAACAAAGGGGTGACAGCTCCCTGGCTGCTCATCCAGGTGGGGTAGAGCTGGGACGGCCCCACAAAGCCTCCAGCATCTCTGCTGTTCTCCACAGTGACACAGCTCTGTCACCTCTGCCCTCCCTGTCCTGCCCAGGTGAGGATCCCGGGTGCCACCCCTGCCACAGGGGACTGGCATCACCAGCAGCACTTGCAGGCACTGCCCAGCCCTCCGCACCCTGCAGGGCTGTTCCGGGGGGCAGAGCACCCTGTGGTGGCACCCAGCCACCTCAAAGCCACCCCATCCCAGGTTTGTCCCAAACTGGTCCTGTCTGGAGCCCATCCTGCTGCCCCAAGGCTGCAGGGGCACTGCTGAGACCAAGCCCACGGCTCCGAGCCCTCGCAGAGCTGCAGCCTCTCCAGCAGCCATCCCTGCAGCCCGTTGCCATGGCATCCTCAGGGATGGCACAGATACGGGGGAGGAAGACAAGGAGGATGAAGACAGGTGGACACATTGGCTCTGCAAAGCCAGGGCACGGCTGGGGCAGATTTGAGGCCCTCTGGCAGCAGGCAGGGTCACCCTGCTCCCCTCCCAGGACTGGTGTAATAGAGCTGGCATTGCCATGCTCCCCTCCCTGCTGGGGCATCTCCCACCCATGGACACCTGGAGGCTGGTGAGACTAGGCTGGTGGAGCAGGAAAGGGAATTCCTGGGGTTTAACATCTTCAAGGATAGGTCACTCCTGCTTTCCAGCCAGGAGCAGCCAGCCTGGGGTGCAGCACAGGGGTGAGGACTCGCAGGAGCAGCAAGGGGGGCAGAGCACAAGGGGGCTCCTGCAGGGGAGGGGGCTCCCCAAGCCCCACTGCCCGCATTGTCCCCAAGCCCCACTGCCAGCATTGTCCCCAAGCCCCACTGCCAGCATTGTCCCCAAGCCCCACTGCCAGCATTCTCCCCAAGCCCCACTGCCCGCATTGTCCCCAAGCCCCACTGCCAGCATTGTCCCCAAGCCCCACTGCCAGCATTCTCCTCTTTGCCATCATCAGGCACCCAGGACCTTCCCTCCTTCCCCACAAGCACCTCCTCCCTCCTTGTCTCCATGCCTGACCCACACTGGGAGCAGAGCAGAGCCCCCTCACCAGGGGGATGTGGTGGCTTCCCCTGGGCAGCCTGGGCTCCTCCTGCCACCAGCTTGTCTCTTCTAAATTTGTGGGTTTCAGGAGTTTATTTTTAAGATGTTTATTTTGTCAAGGTGTTCATATTATGTTGCTGTTAGGAGTTAGTGTGTTTATTTTTGCCAAGTAAAGTGGTGTGCTCATGCATCAGAAAATGGACAGATAAACACATTTTGGGGGGTTTATGGCCAGTTTAGACAGGTACTGCAGAGTGTCTGTGTTACCAAGTCAGGAGGAACCTGCCATAAGATTTGCCAAATGTTCCCTAACATAGTAAGACTGACTTAATTTCTCTGCTGGCTCTGATTCTCATTGTCATCATCTCTGAATGAAGAGCGCTGCAATATTAAATTATATTTTATTAATCACAAGACAAATCTCCCCAGATTTTAATGTGATATGGGGGCTGTGATGACAAACACCCTCACAGCTGGGATGGTTCTGCAGAAGTGCAGAACCCTGGGGGTCAGGGTGGTGGTCGGGGGCATCTGTGACCATTTCCCCCTTCGTCCAAATTCCCTTTCTGCTGGGACTGCTCCGAAAGGGACCCGAGGGAGGTGGAGGAAGCTGCTGGGAAGCAGGCTCCTGCCCGGCTGCGGGGCTGGGGGCGAAGGGGGGCCGGAGAGGCAGCACACTGCCAGGCACAGCCCTGGCACCGAGGGCAGCCGTGCCCGGGGAGCAGACGCGGGACCCGAGCTGGTCCTGCCCGGCACGGAGCGCTCCTGTGCCCCAGGGGCCCTCGGGCTGCCCCAGGCGAGCGCTCAAACCGCGCCGTCATTAACATCAGAGGGGGCTCGGGGGGCCGTGACTGCCCCTGCTCCGAGTGCGGGGAGCTGCGGGCTCAGGGATCTTCGGGCTCTGGGGAGCCCCGGAGCAGGGACACGCACAGGCACCCGCACGGGTGGGCGCAGTGGAACAGAGACCCCGCAGCCCCTCGCACACGGACACAGACCCTACAGACCCCGCACGGGTGGGCGCAGTGGAACAGAGACCCCGCAGCTCCCCGCACACGGACACAGACCCTACAGACCCCGCACGGGTGGGCGCAGTGGAACAGAGACCCCGCAGCCCCTCGCACACGGACACAGACCCTACAGACCCCGCACGGGTGGGCGCAGATGGACAGAGACCCCGCAGCCCCCCGCACACGGAGAAAAACCCTACAGACCCTACAGCCCCCAGCCCACGGACACAGATCCTGCAGCCCCCCGCACACGGACACCCCCGCCCGCCGCTCCCCGCACCCACCTGCGGGCGGACGCGCCGCCCCCCGCGCCCTCCTCCTCGCGCAGCGCCGGGCACCGGCACCGGCACCGGCACCGGCACCAACGATCGGCACCGGCACCAACGATCGGCACCGGCACCGGCACCGGCACCGGCATCGGCACCGGCATCGGCACCGGCACTGGCACCAACGATCGGCACCAGCACCAGCACCAACGATCGGCACCAGCATCGGCACCGGCACCGGCACCAACGATCGGCACCGGTACCCGGCACTCGGCACCGGCACCGGCACCAGCCCCGGCACAGGGCACGGGGCAGCGGCACCAACCCCGGGGAGCGGCACCGCACACCGCCACGGGCAGCAGGTACCGGGTGGGATGCGCTCCCCACCGTCACCACCGCAGCCGGGGGCGGCGCGGGATGGCCGCGGCTCGGAGGGGCGCGGGGCACAGCAGCCCCGGCGGCAGCGGGGGAGAGCCGCCCCCGGGTCTCCCCCCCGGCTCCGAGGGGTCCCCACGGGAAGGGGCCGTGGGCAGCTCACGGGCAGGGAGCGGCACCGTGGGCGCCTTTGGGAGGGGCTGGGAGCAAAGCGGGCGCTGACCGCGGGTCCAGGGGCCGCAGGATCCCATGGAGGGCACGGAGGGGTGGGAAGGGCCGGGAAGCTTGTGCCCTCTCCAGGGGCGCTCTGTGGGCACCGGCTGCTCGGGGCTCCGGGAGCACTCTGAGGAGTGAGACAGGGAGCGGGGGCAGCAGGAGGGGGTGGCAGCGGGGGTCAGTGGGGCGGCAGAAGCAGGAACACAATAGACAGCATGACTGTGGCCGCTTCTGCTTCCCTCCGGCAGTGAGGAGGCAGAGATCCCGGCTCCAGCCCAGGAAGCCATCAGGGAAGTTCACACCGTCTCCAGTGCGCTTCGTGCTGCGGCCCCCAGACACAGCAGGCCAGTGGAGACCACCAGAAGCTCTCTGATCTCCTGGGGAAGCCAAGGCACCCATCCGGGCAGCTGTGTGCACCAGGTGGAGGGACACAGCCTCAGGGACAGTGGGGTAGTGCCCAGAGCATCCCAGGAAGGCAGGGACAAAGCAGCGGGGCTCACCTCTTCCCCGTGGTTCCCCCACAGGCACCGCTGCCGTCACCCAGCGGGAAGCAGCAGCCATGGATGAAGTGACAGAGCTGGAGCTGGGGGGCAACTCCCTGCTGAAGGCCGTGTGGCTGGGCCGGCTGCGGCTGACCCGGCTGCTGCTGGAGGGGGGCGCCTACATCAACGAGAGCAACGACAAGGGCGAGACCGCCCTCATGGTGGCCTGCATCACCACGCACGTGGACCAGCAGAGCAGCCACAAGGCCAAGATGGTGAAGTACCTGCTGGACAACAGAGCCGACCCCAACATCCAGGACAAGTCTGGCAAGACGGCGCTCATGCACGCCTGCATCCGCGGGGCTGGGGGGGACGTGGTGTCCCTGCTGCTGGACAGCGGGGCAGACCCCAGCCTGGAGGACCACTCAGGAGCCTCAGCGCTGGTCCACGCCATCAACGCTGAGGACAAGGCTGTGCTGCAGCACCTCCTGAATGCCTGCAGAGCCAAGGGGAAGGAGGTGATCATCATCACCATGGACACATCAGCCTCTGGCACCAAGACCGCCAAGCAGTACCTGAACGTTGCCCCAGCGCTGGAGTTCAAGGAGAAGGCTCCCCTCGAGGAGAGCACAGCCCCCTCCAGTACCCACCTGAAAACTCCCGTCTCAGCACCTTCCCCTGCCGAGAAGGAGAGCAGCACTCTCACCCCACACCCTTCCCACCCTGGGGACACTGAGCCAGCCTCCCCAGGCCAGCGAGGCGGCACTGCCCGGAGAGCCCAGCTGCCCCGGCTGAAGCGGCTGAGGTCGGAGCCCTGGGGTCTGGTGGCACCCTCGGTGCTGGCGGCCTCCAGTCACCGCGACGACACGCGGGTCTGCGCCGACAGCGAGGTCATCACGGGCATCGGCGACCTCTCGCTCTCCAAAAAGCCCTCCCTCACCCGCAGCGGCAGCAGCGGCAAGGGAAGGGACCCCTCTCTCTTCCCCCCAGTGGATGAGCAGGCACTGGGGCCGCTGGCATGGAAAGCCACCCACGAGAAGAGCCCGGGCACCCACCCGTGCCTGTCCCGGAGCGCCACGGTCCCCGAGGAGCCGGAGAGCACTGGCTCGGCTGCCAGCTCCGCCGCAGGGACGGACACCACTCCCCACTGGTGGAGGCCAGGCACCGAACACAACGGGGACCCGCCGGTCACCGAGGCGGGGAAGGCACCGTCCGAGAGGCGCAAGCTGAGCGGGTCCCAGCTGGCCCTGCTGGACGGCTGCTGTGACTCTCCCTCCGGCAGCACCAGCACATCGCCCAGCACCGGCCGGCGCCGGCCGCCCGGCCTGCTGGAGAGGCGAGGGTCCGGGACCCTGCTGCTGGACCACATCTCCCACACAAGGCCAGGATACCTGCCCCCCCTGAATGTGAACCCCAACCCCCCGATTCCTGACATCGGCTCCAGCAAAGCCCCCTCCCCGCTGGCTGCTGGGCTGAAGCCGCTGGTGCCCCTCGCACCCAGCTCGCCCAGGCGGGGCGATCTGAGGGCTCACAGGAAGCTCCTCCGCAGACATTCCATGCAGGCAGAGCAGATGCGGCACCTCTCCGATTTTGAGGAGGTCGTGGCGCAGTAGCCGTGCCCCGTTTGCTCACAGGGAGGTGGCCAAGGCCGCGCTGTCCCCGCAGAGACGGGACGGTTCCCACACAGAGTGGGCACAGGCTCCGGGGACACACAGTGGCCGGGGGGCTCAGCCCTGAGCCCAGGGGCTGAATCAGGATCAGGCTGATCGGGAGATTGATCCCACACCGTCCCAGATCGCCAAGCTCCGTGCCAAGGATCCCACCTGCAGTTCACTTATTCCTCACTAGTTGCAATCCGCTTTTCTTACATTCTGCTCGTTCTCTCACCGAATCCCGGCCCGGAGCACCGGGTGGTGATCTCTGGGGCCGAGGCGTTCTAAGTGCCTTCCAGGAGGGGAAGGGGCTCAGTACGGAGGGGGCTCGAGGAGCGGAATCCCCGTGCAGCCACGGACGGTGCCGGTGCTCTCCCGGAGCGGGAGAGGGAGACAGTGCTCCACCTCCGGGATTCCCGGAGCTGCGGCCGCTCGGCACACCCGGCACCGCTGCAGCCCCGTGGGCTGTGGGCCGGGATGGGCTTGTCTGGTCTCTGAAGGATCTGAACCTCAGGGGGTTCATTCCCCGCCGCGCCGAGGAGCTCTGAATTCAGGAAGCGCCGAGCAGGAGGGTCCCAGCCCGGCTGCACGGGAGCCTCTGCCAGCGGCGGGGAAGCCGGGATGCCAACCCACCGAGGGTGACACGGGCCGAGCCCAGCGCTTCATCCCACCGGGAAAGCCGCAGGCACGGCGCCAGAGCCAAGACCCCGCGGGCCCCCCGCCCCACGGCCGTGGGCCGTGGCTCCCGCAGCTTCCATCGCTCCACGATCGCGGTTATTCACGGGACTGCGTGCGCGCAGGGGCGCAGGGGCAGGTGTTGGGGTGACGCCGCGGCCCTGCGGAGACTCGTGCACTGGTTTTGCACTGCATTAATAAAGCGCTCAGCTTGGGACGGAGGCTGATCTCGCGTGGAGCCGACACCAGCCGCCCGCACAGGGTCCCGGGAGTGCCGCGGGGATCGCCCGGCCCCGAGATGCCGGGGGGCCCAGGGTGCCGGGCCGGTGGAACCTTCCCGGGCTCCCCGCGGGTGCCCGCCCCGGGGCCGGAGGTGCCGCCCGCGCCCCGCCCCGCAGCGGAAGCGCCACGTCAGGGGGCGGTGCGGGGCCGGCGGCGGTGCCGGTGCGGAGCCGGTGCCGGGGGCGGTGCGGAGCCGGTGCCGGGTTGTGGGTGGCGGTGCCGGTGCCAGGTTGCGGGTGCCGGTGCCGGGATACGGGAGGCGGTGCCGGGCTGCGGGTGCCGGTTGTGGGTTGCGGGTGCCGGTGCCGGGGGCGGTGCGGAGCCGGTGCCGGTTGTGGGTTGCGGGTGCCGGTGCCGGGTTACGGGAGGCGGTGCCGGGCTCGGTGCGGGGCGCGATGCCGGGCGCGGTGCGGACGCTGTGCCTGGCCGCGCTGCTGGGCGCGCTGCGGGCCGGCGGCACGGAGCTGACGCTGGAGCTGCCCGACAGCGCCCAGCGCTGCTTCCACCAGGAGCTGGAGAGCGGCGTCAAGTTCACCCTCGACTATCAGGTACTACCCTGCCTGTACCTTCCTGCGTGCTCCGTGCCTGCACCCCCTGCCCAAACCCCTGCCAGGGCCCCTCTGCCCCGTTTGTGCCCCATCCCTGTGCCCCTGCCCATGTGCCTGCCTGTGGCCAGGTGCCCGTGCCCCCTTGCCCACAGCCCTGCCGTGGGCGTGCTGTTGTCTCTGCCCATGCCACCTGCCCATGCCTCTCCCGCACTCCCATCCTGTGACCTGCAGAGCCCCAGGCAGGGCTGCAGTTCCTCCCCAGCTCCCTCTATGCTGCACGAGGAGTTGTTCCCAGCCCCAGTTCCATGCCCAGCAGTGCCCACCTGAGAGCCAGGCCTGGGATGTGCCCACATCAGCCGTGGACACCCCTGACCTGGGTCATGAGGGCCGTTCCTGTCTCCAGGCACCCCACTTGAGCCATGGGCACCCCAGCTGAGCTGCTGGCACTGTGGTGCACAACTTCCCCAGGGCTCCCCTGGCCTGGGCCCCATCCCATGGGCATGGTGCCCGCTGGCCTCTCACACAGCTGTGGGGCTGGGCAGGGGCAGGGGGCCCTTGCCACGTCGCTGGGCGTGTGCCACCATCGGAGATGCGTCTCCCTGCACAGGTGATCAGCGGAGGGCACTATGATGTGGACTGCTACGTGGAGGACCCCAACGGCAAGACCATCTACCAGGAGACCAAGAAGCAGTACGACAGCTTCTCGCACCACACCGAGGCCAAGGGTGTCTACACCTTCTGCTTCAGCAACGAGTTCTCCACCTTCTCCCACAAAATCGTCTACTTTGACTTCCAGGTGGGCGACGAGCCGCCCATCCTGCCCGACATGAACAACCGCGTCACTGCCCTGACACAGGTGGGTCCTGGGAGGAAAGGAGGGAGGAAGGAAGGGTCCTGCTGCAGCCCCAAGCAGCCTTGTGGGATGGCAGTTGGGGACGTGTCCCCTTCCTCCTGCACTGGATGCAGAAGTTCCAACCGCCGGCCAACAGCCCCACCACACACCACATCCTCTGCTCTGCCTGGCTCGGGGGGGCTGTGCTGGCTCTGGGTTCCCCTCTCTGCAGCAGCCGTGTCCATCGCACATGAGGGAATTGCATCAGCCATTCCATCCCTCGGTGTGAGCTCTGGGCTGGGCATCCGGGTGCCCTCGTGGGCCTCTCAGCTCTGTGCCAGTGGGGAACCACCCTGCATGGGTTCTGGCAGGAAACCTGCTACACAAACACTGCTCTTGAGTGTTCTGGCACGGCCCTGGGCTCCCTCAGCTGAGCCATGTCAGAAGCAACAGGGTGCTCCTGTCCTTGTTCCCAGCTGGAATCTGCCTGTGTCACCATCCATGAGATGCTGAAGGCAGTGATCGACTCCCAGACGCACTACCGGCTGCGGGAGGCGCAGGACAGGAGCAGAGCTGAGGAGCTCAATGGCCGCGTCTCGTACTGGTCCGTGGGGGAAACCCTCATCCTCTTCGTGGTCAGCATCGGGCAGGTGGTGCTGCTCAAGAGCTTCTTCACCGAGAAGAGACCCAGCAGCGGCGGAGCTGGCACCTAGAGCTGCTGTCTGTGCCCGAGTGGAGCAGGCAGTGGGACAGACACTGCACCTCTGATCGGTGCCGTGGGCAGGCGGGGGGTGGGAGCAGGGGTGACACTGCTGAGCTGGTGACGCAGCCACCCAAGGACAGGCGTCCCCCAGCATCACCTCCCACTTGCCATCGCCCGGCCTACCCTGTCCCCTCGCCTGGCCAGCCTGTCCCTGTTCTCTGGCTGCACTGGGGAGCGGGTGGGACCAGCACCAGCAGTGCTGGGGCACTGGGGCACCCTCAGGACTGGGACGTGACTGGGGTGTGACCACACGCTGCCCCTGAAGCCCTGTGCAGCCGCCGAGGGCAGGGGCAGCGCTGCCCCCCCGGCCCCCACCCAGTGCCCTCGGCCCCAGCAGAGCTGCCTGTGGGCTGGGGGGGTCTCTGTGTGCACCCCAGCTGCCCCGTGGTGGGCAGGGTGCTCCCAGCAGCAGGACACAGCAACAGCAGTGTCCAAGGGAAGGCTGCTTGCTGGGCGGCTCTGGCTCTGCCAGCTCCTCCCCTCGCAGCAGTTCTCAGGCTGGCAGCAGGTGGTGTGCCCGTACCAGGTGGTATGTCATACACCGGTCTGTGCCTGAGGCTCAGCCCCCTCACACGTTCCCCCCACACGTGCCGAGGAAGCCCCATCCCTGCCCCAGAAGCACGGGGGACCCACACACACCTGGGACTGCAGCCCCTCATTCCCTGGGGCCCCACAAGACCCCTGGAGTGACTGGGGTGTGCTGGCCCTCCAGCCCTCAAGCAGGTGTGAGATCATTTCTCAGAGCTGAAGCAACTCCACTAGACTTTTCCTTTGCCACTTTCAAATAAATCCCTGCAAGCATGGCTGGCACTGCTGTTATTGGGCACAGCTTCTGCCTGCCCTCCTGCCTTGCCCCCTGCCCACACAGCTGAGCTTGCTCCTGGCACAGGACCCGAGGAGGACACTGTGTGTGCCCCAGCGTGAGGCTGCAGTGTCAGTGGGCTGTGAGGGGGTTCCCACTGCGCAGTGGGGACTGAGGAGCCAGGGGAGCACAGGGGGACCCCGGGCAGAGCCCAGCTCTGGGGTCCCTTCCCTGCGGCTGGGGGATGCCAGGGCAGCTCACTCTGGCAGTGCTCGTGGTGCTGGGGGCAGTGAGGGGCCCGGGCAGCCGCAGCCCTCGCCCACCTCCCTGCCAAGGCTCTGCCGGCAGCGTGGCCTTGGGCAGCTGCTGCGGGCGGGAGAGCTGCCCCCGGGTGCCTCCCAACAGCCTTGGGCAGCAGCCAGCAGCTCCTGCTTGGAGCACAGCCACAGCAGCAGCACCCTGGCACTGCCACCAGCCCTGGCAGGGACCAGCCCTGCGCCCACTGTGGGGATGCACAGGGAGGGAAGCACCCAGCCCTGGCCAGGCTGGCATGGCCTGGAATCTGCCCCTGCCTGGGGACTCCTGAGCCGCCCACGGTGGGGACAGGGGCAGCTGTGACCCCCATGAGTCAGAGTGCAGCTCTGGGGACACCAGCTCAGCTCCCAGCGGGGGGACACAGGAGGGACAAGAGGTGGCCATAGGACACTTTATTGCTGTTCAGGGCACAGAGAAGGGAGAGGGGAGGGGGGCACCCCACCAGCCCGAAGCCCCCAGAGGCACTTTGGGGTGCAGGGAGAGATCAGCAGTGACTCCATGCCCATGGAGCTGTGCTGAGCCTGCTGCCAGGCCCCCTGCCCGGGCACCCCAGCTGGTGTCACAGGGAGCTGCTGTGGCAGGAGGGCTCCCTGGCAGCCCCTCGGGGCCGGCGCAGCCCCGGTGCTCCCCGCGGGGGCGGCAGGGAGGAGGCTGAGCAGCGGAAGGAGCCCGTGGCCGGGGAGGGGGGCTGGGCCAGGGGGCCCTGCCTGCATGGGCACCCCCAGCCCCCCCGGAGGGGGATGG